TGGGCACGGGAAACATGGTATTGGTGCACCCCATCGAGGAGAACGGGGAGGTATTCCTGCCCTGCTGCTACGGGTATGCGACCACGGTGCGTCGAGCCCAGGGTGCGGATCTCTTTCACGGCTGTATTTACTTCGAGCAGAAGAAGAGAGTGGCTACGAGAGGGCATGGCTACGTTGCCTGCAGCCGCTTTAAGTCTCGCGAGGGCTGTTATGTATTCGGCAAGGTCCGCCGCAGTGACTTCCTCCCGGCTGGGCCTGAGCAGGATGGCGAGGTGCTGGAGCGCGGCTACGACTCGGTATCGTCATCTGACGACGAGGGGAAGGGCATCGAGTATGCCTGTGCAGATCAAGGGGAGTATGACGCGGACCCTGTTGTGTCCATGGACATGGGCAACAATCTCGTGGACTTCCTTGAGAGCGCCGAGGATACGGCAGATGTATCCAAGACCGACTGCCAACGTATCCTTGCAGACTTTGCTGCAGGTGCCGCTGCGGAGGCTGCCAATGCGCCAGTGTATGAGGAGATGGGCGTATGCAGTGAGCTCCCAGTGAGGGAGGCAGAGTGGGGCGAAAATGGTGAGCTGCTCGTCTACGGCGGCACGGCCACGCCGGAATGATGCATGACGTATGGCGACGGGGACGAACACAAAAAAACGTACACGCGCGCATGTGGCCATGTCTGCCTAGTATCATATCATTTATCCGGGCCTGCATGTGACCACCTGTTGTCTTTGGCGCATGCCTTGCATACGTATCACGTGCAATATGTATTATACGTAAGCTGTGCAGGTGGGTCAAAACGTGCCCCAACAATGCGTCCAACTTTTGTCTCTGTCCCATGTCTCTTATACGTATCTTGTGCAATGTGCAATTATACGACAACTGCACGTGGGACAAAATTTGCCCCAAAAATGTGACCACATTTTCTTTGTCTTCTCTTTTACGTATCAGGTGCAATGTGTATCAACGTGACAACGGCATGTGTGGCAAAATTTGCCCCAAAAATGTGACCAACTTTTGTCTCTGTCTCATGGCTGTCTTTTTCTTGTGCAATGTGTACTCATGTAACAACTGCACGTGGGACAAAAGTTGCCCCAAAAATGTGACCAACTTTCTTTGTCTCCTTTATCTCATACGTATCATGTGCAGTATGTGTCATACGGAACAATTGCATGTGTGCCAAAATTTGCCCCACAAATGTGACCAACTTTCGTCTCTGTCTCGTGGCTGTCTTTTCTTTGTGCCATGTGCACTTATGTAACAACTGCACGTGGGACAAAAGTTGCCCCAAAAATGTGACCAACTTTCTTTGTCTCCTTTATCTCATACGTATCATGTGCAGTATGTGTCATACGGAACAATTGCATGTGTGCCAGAATTTGCCCCCAAAATGTGATCAACTTTCGTCTCTGTCTCGTGGCTGTCTTTTCTTTGTGCCATGTGTACTTATGTAACAACTGCACGTGGGACCAAAGTTGCCCCAAAAATGTGACCATCTTTCTTTGTCTCCTTTCTCTCATACGTATCATGTGCAGTATGTGTCATACGGAACAATTGCATGTGTGCCAAAATTTGCCCCAAAAATGTGACCAACTTTCGTCTCTGTCTCGTGGCTGTCTTTTCTTTGTGCCACGTGTACTTATGCAACAACTGCACGTGGGACAAAAGTTGCCCCAAAAATGTGACCAACTTTCTTTGTCTCCTTTATCTCATACGTATCATGTGCAGTATGTGTCATACGGAACAATTGCATGTGTGCCAAAATTTGCCCCAAAAATGTGACCAACTTTCGTCTCTGTCTCGTGGCTGTCTTTTCTTTGTGCCATGTGTACTCATGTTGTCTTTGTGCCACTTTCTTTGTCTCCTTTATCTCATACGTATCATGTGCAGTATGTGTCAGCAAAATTTGCCCCAAAAATGTGACCAACTTTGTCTCTGTTCGTCTGTCTCACGTGCCACGGTATTATGCACTGCCGTGGGACAAAATTGCCCCAAAAATGTGACCAATTTGTCTCCCTCATACGTATCAAGTAATGAACAATTGCATGTGTGCCAAAATTTGCCCCAAAAATGTGAACAACTTTCGTCTCTGTCTCGTGGCTGTCTTTTCTTTGTGCCATGTGTACTCATGTACCAGAGCAAAATTTGCCCCAAAAATGTGACCAACTCTTTGTCTCCGCGTTCATCTGTCTCACGTGCAATAGGTATTATACGTAACCACTGCCTGCGGGTCAAAATATGTCCCAAAAATGTGACCAACTGTTGTCTCCTGTCACGTGCCTATCATACTTATCATGCGCAACAAGTATTACACATGTAACAACTGCATGCGTATCATACCTATCATACGTATCCTGAGCATACATTACGGATCTTGGGGCCACCGTACGCTCTCTTGGGGCCACACTTTTCCCGGGGCCATCATAGGCTTTCTTGGGGCCACCATAGGCTTTCTTGGGGCCACCATAGGCTTTCTTGGGGCCACCATAGGCTTTCTTGGGGCCACCATAGGCTTTCTTGGGGCCACCATAAGCTTTCTTGGGGCCACCATGGGCTTTCTTGGGGCCACCATATGCTTTCTTGGGGCCACCATAGGCTTTCTTGGGGCCACCATAGGCTTTCTTGGGGCCATCATAAGCCATCATAAGCTTTCTTGGGGCCACCATAGGCTTTCTTGGGGCCACCATAGGCTTTCTTGGGGCCACCATAGGCTCTCTTGGGGCCACCATAGGCTTTCTTGGGGCCACCATAGGCTTTCTTGGGGCCACCATGGGCTTCCTTGGGGCAACCATAGGTTTTCTTGGGGCCACCATAGGCTTTCTTGGGGCCACCATAGGCTTTCTTGGGGCCACATAGGCTGTCTTGGGGCCTGTTCGGACTGAGCTGTTGTGCACGGCTGCGCCTCGCCGAGTGCTTGCCGACGGTCCATGTCTGTGCGTGTGTGTGTTGCTCATAGGCACTTTGGCTCAAGAGGGGGTATTCTTGGCCACGTATTGCCTTGGCATGCAGTCCGCAGGGTATCTGTTCGTGCTGTCCTTTGTATTACTGCGTTTCACACGAGGCCAGGCAGGAGTGCCTGTCGTATGTGACTACCTTTTGGATCAGTGGAGTGTATTCGTCCAGGACTTCGATTCATTCTGTTGCGGTCTTGTCCGGCACTGCGAGGCTGTATGCAAAGAGAGAGGTGGCACGTATCTAGCCCATCGGGAAGGTTTGCACATCGCGTGTTCTGGTTTGAATTTTATTCGCACTCTGCGCAGGGCTCGTATACGACGGCGCCTTGTTGCATTTGCGCAGAAGTGGTCGCACGTAGTATCGGGGCTTCAGCGTCCCCGTGTGAAGGGCGTCTCGGTCACGAGCGCTGACATCATGGCCATGGGGGACAGTATCCCGGACTATGTCGCCGTGGCCGTTCAGAAGAACCAGGTGAAGATGGCAGGTAAGTATAACAGCATGGACTGTATGCGGTGTTTTCTTGCCATTCTTGAGTTTTGCATGGGCTGCGCGCCAACGGAGTATACCGAGGAGCTGCACCAGTGGTTTCTGAAGCGGCAGTGTCGGAGGTGGAGACGCCATGCTGCGGCGGACCTCGCGTATTTTGGTGTGCTTTCCTGCGACAGTATGACCACAGCATTGGGGCGTATGAGGAGGGCTCTGAACACCACGTCTCAAGTGAGTGTCGCGACCATGTATGTATTGTTCTGCGAGACGCGGCAGGCTATCAACAGGTATTCGCTGCATGGTCTTTGGTACCTCGTGGAGGTGTATGACAAGAGCAAGTCTGTGCGGCAAAACGTTTCGCGTATCCGACATGGGCTAGCATATAGTGTATCGACGCTTTCTCACACAATTCAGGTTCTGGAGGGGATCCGCAGCTGCGTGGGTGTATCACTCGCTGTCCTGCGGAAGGTACCCTGCAAGCGCGCTGGCGGACCTTTGGAGGTGGCGTATCAGTTGGGTCGCCGCCGTCTCTGTCCCAAGGTGGAATTGGACGGTATTCCAGAGTTCCGAGTGCTGGCGAGTTCTTTGAGCGTTGTGACTCAGAAGGTCCAGACGTATGCGAGGCAGCATAGACAGCAGTATCGCGGTTTGGTCAAGGCTGCAAAGGGTCTGGGTATCAAGTACGGGAAGTCGCATACTGTGAAGAAGCTCGCTGCGCTTGCGAAGCGAGGTATGCAGAAGCCTTCAGGCACGGGGGCGCGGAAGAGGAGTTACGAGGAGCTGGTATCCGCAGTGCACGCTCGCGGCGCCAGCGAGTATCAAAGAATGAAAATTCAGGGTAGGCGGGTCACCAGACGTGTATCCAAAGTCAAGTTGGAAGCGTTGCTGTCTGAACCTTGAGGGCGGCGTTCATCTGTATAGTTGCATGTTGTCTGACGCAGGGGTTGACCAGAACTGTATGAAACAAGAGCATACACCGGTAATGACATACACATACACACACACACACACACACGTAAACATACTAGTCCGACGCGCATAGCTCTGCCTCTACACGCGGACGTGCACATATACAGTCACATACACCTCTAAACTTTTACGTATACATATATAGATATACGCGTACGTCAACTTTGCCCCAAAAATGTGACCAACTCTTGTGTCTGTCTCAGGTCTCTCACACGTATCATGTGCAATTAGTAGTATACGTAACCACTGCGTGTATGGCAAAACTTGCCCCAAAAATGTGACCAGCCGTTGTCTCTGTCTCATGCCTAGTATTACATGTGCAATACGTATTTTACGTGACTACTGCATGTGTGGCAAAATTGGCCCCAAGAATGCGACCAACTGTTGTCTCTGTCTCATGTCTATCACACGTATCATGTGCAATATGTCGTATACGTACCAACTGCGTGTGTCACATAATTTGCCCCAAATATGTGACCAACTGTGGTCAACTGTGGTCTCTGCAATTGTATCATACGGATGATTTCCCATACGTATCATACGCATCAAACTGCAGCCGTATATTCCCAAAGTCGGCACGCCTGCACCAGTCTTCCCACTCGGAAGTGTATCCCCTGCGGTATCGTATGACACTCGACAGTGGCCCAGACTTCGCGCTCTTGTCTGGGCCTGCGGCGGCGACGGGCGCCCCGGTATCCGGGGAGCAGCCGAAGGACCAGAAGAAGCGGGAGTGGCTGAAGGTATACGAGACGTTGCCCGCGCAGTTGCTCAGCGCGCATGGGCCTTCGAAGTTCGCCAAGTTGAAGGACGGGCAGGTATGGGCCCAGATGCAGGGGCCGCTGAAGAGCGGGGCCGTATGGATGTCGGAGATGTGCAGCAAGGAGCCGGAGCGGAGGGGTGTCGGTATTAACCGTTTCATTCACGCGATGAAGACCTTCTGCGAGCATCAAAAGGATCCCTCGGTTATGGCGCACAACAAGGCGGTATTGAAGGAGCAGATGTATAACGATCTGTACAAAGAGATTGAGGAGATCCCCCCGGCCTTGCAGTATTGTTTGGCACCCAAGAAGCAGCCTGAGAAGAAGGGTGCTGCTCTCCTCCGTGCGAGCGGCACGGACGAGGCGGTGCAGGGGACCGCGAAGACGGGGCCGGAGTTGGACAAGTATGCGAAGCAGGTCTATGACTGGCTGGACAAGACTAAACTGTCGCGAGTTCGTATGATGGCCAATTGGCAGAGTTGCGGGGGGTTGGCCTTTGTGGCTCAGTGCCACCATCGGGCGACCACCTGCTTCAGGTATCACGGCAACAGCTTTCACGGAGCTGGTCCAGCGCAGCAAGAGGTATCACTTCAAGAGTTCCAGGCCGCTGTGAAGCTCCGCCACTCGGTCGGCCACAACGGTATGGACGTGGAGGGGGTGAGCGAGGTCTCCGGCGTCAACGACTTCGGGAACGCTTCCTGAGGGCACGGTGTATGAGGCGAATCTTCCAGAGTCGCGCGTGCACACTGGGGAGGCAGGTGCTGCATGCCTTTAGACAAGAGTATCTCTTTTCTGCACCTCGGGCGTATATACATGAAGTTGGGAGTGGCAAAAAAAAACACAAAAACGTGAACAGCTGGTTCGGGGGTCTATGCTCTCGCGCCCCTGGTGGCACAGTGGGCTGCCGCTCCCAGGTGGCATCGTGGGCTGCCGGCGACGGCGACGGCGAAGGCGACGGCGACGGCGACGGCGACGGCGACGGCGAACGGCGACGTTCGCCCGACGGCGACGGCCGAGGTGACGGCGACGGGGCGACGGCGACGGCGACGGCGGCGACGGCGGACGGGACGGCGACGGACGGACGGCGACGGAAGACGGCGCCCCCGTGGTTGCGAGGAAAAGGTGATCTGCCTCTTTAGGGGGGTCTGACCAAGAAGCTTCCATCCGGAGGATAGAATATGTTCCAAGGTTCTTTATGTATTCTCTTTAGGGCTTCGGCCCGGAGCGCAAGACTCCTGTCTGGGGATCTTGGGGGAGCATTCCAGGGCCAATTGTTTGTCTCAACATGTATTCTCTCTTGTTCTGCCTCGAGCCCTCCAGACATCTCTGGGGATCTTAGGGGGGGCCTCCAGGGCCCTGTTGTTTATGTATTCCTGTAGGCCTTCGGCCTGAGCCGCAAGACCTGTCTGGGGATCTTGGGGGGGGGCCTCCCAGGGCCCAATGGTTTTTATGTATTCTCTTTAGGCCTTTGGCCCGAGCCGCCCGACCTATCTGGGGATCTTGGGGGGGCCTCCCAGGGCCCTGTTGTTATGTATTCTCTTTAGGCCTTCGGCCCGACCCGCAAGACGGCGACGGCGACGGCGACGGCGACGGCGACGTCGACGCAGACGGCGACGCAGACGGCGACGGCGACGGTGACGGATCCCAGCCTCAGCCTCAGCCTCAGCCTCGGCCCGCAGACGCGCCCCCGTGGTAGTGAGGAAAATGGCATTGCTCTTAGGGGGGTCTGACCAAGACCCTTCATCCGAGGAAGAATCTGTTCCAACATCAGCCTGCCTCAGCGCCAACATTTGCCCCAATAATGTGACCAACTGGCTGCTGTCTTCGGGCAACCACAGGCTGTCTTGGGGCCACCATGGGCTGTCTTGGGGCCGTCATAGGCTGTCTTGGGGTCCACACGGCTGTCTTCGGGCATTTCAAAGGCGTCGGGGCACCATGGCTGTCTTGGGGCCACCATTTCCTGGTGTGGGCAACTGCGAGGCGACTCGGCCGACGGCGGACGCGACGGCGACGGCGGCGGCGACGGACCCCCCCCCCGGCGACGGCGCACCCGGCGACGGCGAAGCAGACGGCGCGGCGAGTGTGACGGCGACGGCGGCGACGGCGACGGCGACGCGACGGTGACGGCTCCCAGCCTCTAGCCTCAGGCTCAGCTCGGCCCGAGACGCGCCCGTGGTAGTGAGGAAAAATTGGGATTTGCTCTTAGGGTCGCGACCTCCTGACCAGACGCTCATCCGAGGAAGAATCTCTTCAATGTTTTTAGGATATCTTCTGACCGATTTTGGCCCGGGCCGCCAGACGGCGACGTCGACGCAGACGGCGACGGCGAGGGTGACGGCGACGGCGGCGACGGCGACGGCGACGGCGGCGACGGCGACGGCGACGGCGACGGCGACGGCGACGGAGACGCGCCCCCGTGGTTGTGAGGAAAATGGCACTGCTCTTAGGGGGGTCTGACCAAGACGCTTCATCCGAGGAAGAATCTGTTCCAATGGTTTTTATGTATTCTCTTTAGGCCTTCGGCCCGAGCCGCAAGACCTGTCTGGGGATCTTTGGGGGGGGCCTTCCAGGGCCCAATGGTTTCTATGTATTCTCTTTAGGCCTTTGGCCCGAGCCGCCAGACCTATCTGGGGATCTTGGGGGGCCTCCCAGGGCCCTGTTGTTATGTATTCTCTGTAGGCCTTCGGCCTGTAGTCAGCAAAGACTGTCTGGGGATCTTGGGGGGGGGGCCTCAGGCCAAATGTATTCTTGTATTATCTTTAGGCCTTTGGCCGAGCCAGCCCGACTATCTGGGGATCTTGTGGGGCCCCCAGGGCCCGGTTGTATGATTCCCTCGTAGGCCTTCGGGCCCGACCCGCAAGACGGCGGACATGCGACGGTCGACGGCGACGGGCGACGGCGACGGCGACGGCGACGTAGACGTCAGACGGCCGAAGCAGGACGGCGACGGCGACGGTCTGAAGGATCCAGCCTTCAGCCTCAGCTCAGCCTCGGCCTCCAGACGCGCCCCCGTGGTAGTGAGGAAAATGGTATTGCTCTTAGGGGGGTCTGACCAAGACCCTTCGTCCGAGGAAGAATCTGTTCCAACATCAGCCTGCCTCGGCGCCAACATGTGCCCCAATAATGTGACCAACTGGCTGCTGTCTTCGGGCCACCACAGGCTGTCTTGGGGCCACCATGGGCTGTCTTGGGGCCGTCATAGGCTGTCTTGGGGTCACCATCGGCTGTCTTCGGGCCATCAAAGGCGTCGGGGTCACCATGGGCTTTCTTGGGGGCCACCATTTTCCTGGGTGGGCACCTGGCGACGGCGACGGCGACGGCGACGGCGGCGGCGACGGCGACGGCGACGGCGACGGCGACGGCGACGGCGACGGCGACGGCGACGGCGAGGGTGACGGCGACGGCGGCGACGGCGACGGCGACGGCGACGGTGACGGATCCCAGCCTCAGCCTCAGCCTCAGCCTCGGCCCGCAGACGCGCCCCCGTGGTAGTGAGGAAAATGGCATTGCTCTTAGGGGGGTCTGACCAAGACGCTTCATCCGAGGAAGAATATGTTCCAATGGTTTTTATGTATTCTCTTTAGGCCTTTGGCCCGGGCCGCCAGACGGCGACGTCGACGCAGACGGCGACGGCGAGGGTGACGGCGACGGCGGCGACGGCGACGGCGACGGCGGCGACGGCGGCGGCGACGGCGACGGCGACGGCGACGGAGACGCGCCCCCGTGGTTGTGAGGAAAATGGTATTGCTCTTAGGGGGGTCTGACCAAGACGCTTCATCCGAGGAAGAATCTGTTCCAATGGTTTTTATGTATTCTCTTTAGGCCTTCGGCCCGAGCCGCAAGACCTGTCTGGGGATCTTGGGGGGGGGCCTCCCAGGGCCCAATGGTTTCTATGTATTCTCTTTAGGCCTTTGGCCCGAGCCGCCAGACCTATCTGGGGATATTGGGGGGCCTCCCAGGGCCCTGTTGTTATGTATTCTCTGTAGGCCTTCGGCCTGAGCCGCAAGACCTGTCTGGGGATCTTGGGGGGGGGGGCCTCCCAGGGCCCAATGGTTTTTATGTATTTTCTTTAGGCCTTTGGCCCGAGCCGCCCGACCTATCTGGGGATCTTGGGGGGCCTCCCAGGGCCCTGTTGTTATGTATTCTCTTTAGGCCTTCGGCCCGACCCGCAAGACGGCGACGGCGACGGCGACGGCGACGGCGACGGCGACGGCGTACGGCGCGTCGACGCAGGACGGCCACGAAGCCGCGACGGCGACGGGACGGATTCCCAGCCTCAGCCTCGCCTCAGCCCGGCAGGCAGGACGCGCCCCCGTGAGTAGTGAGGACAAATGGCATGCTCTTAGGGGGGTCTGACCAAGACCCTTCATCCGAGGAAGAATCTGTTCCAACATCAGCCTGCCTCAGCGCCAACATTTGCCCCAATAATGTGACCAACTGGCTGCTGTCTTCGGGCCACCACAGGCTGTCTTGGGGCCACCATGGGCTGTTTTGGGGCCGTCGTAGGCTGTCTTGGGGTCACCATCGGCTGTCTTCGGGCCATCAAAGGCGTCGGGGTCACCATGGGCTTTCTTGGGGGCCACCATTTTCCTGGGTGGGCACCTGGCGACGGCGACGGCGACGGCGGCGGCGACGGCCACGGCGACGGCGACGGCGACGGCGACGCAGACGGCGACGGCGAGGGTGACGGCGACGGCGGCGACGGCGACGGCGACGGCGACGGTGACGGATCCCAGCCTCAGCCTCAGCCTCAGCCTCGGCCCGCAGACGCGCCCCCGTGGTAGTGAAGAAAATGGTATTGCTCTTAGGGGGGTCTGACCAAGACGCTTCATCCGAGGAAGAATCTGTTCCAATGGTTTTTATGTATTCTCTTTAGGCCTTTGGCCCGAGCCGCCAGACCTACCTGGGGGGTTCCCAGGGGAAGTCTGTGAGGCCTGCGGATTCAAATAAAAAGATGATGTGCGTATGCCTGCTCTGGTCGCATGTGCGGCGGCGGACTTCGTCTTTCGGACGGCGCTCGCATGAGAGTTCTGCGTGTATGGTATGTGTTTCACTCGTCCAATGTTCGCGGTCGTATGGACTTTGGCATTTGGGCACATGTATGCGGTTCGTTTCTGTTTGTACGTAGCGGTTTCTGCTCAAGCCGCTTACTGTATGTCGCGAGATCGTATTCACCTCCACATTGCCAGCCTTCCGTATGACTTTCCAGATGGCCGGTCGGCTTGACCCCTTGACGGGCGAGTATTTCCCGTCGGATGATGAAGTGAGCTCGAGTATGGATCGCTGGCATACGCCACCCGGCCACGAGGCGTATGCACGCCGCTGGTTGAAGCAGTGTGGCTCGGAAAGGTGGTTCGCGTGCGGTATCTTCTTCCCTCTTCTATGGGAGGGTGTTACGGGCGTGTGCCTCGCCGTATCGAGCGGTATGTCCACGGGGCAGTCGAAGATCAACAACGACCCGGAGTGCCAGCACAGTATGGGGGGCATCGCCAAGCCCGAATGGCTGTACTTCGACGCGTACTTTTACGCGAACGCGGTATTCGGGAACTTCTCGGTATTCCAGGATGAGAGGCTTGGGAAGCCCATTGGCTACCTTGTGCACGTATTCGACACGCTGTGCACCGCAGCAGGTATCGTCGCCTGGAAAGCCAACCTCTTCGTCCACCCGGGCCAGTGGGTGTATCGCAGTATGCGGTATTTGC